ATCTGTTTTTTTCAGGTCTTCAAAATATGTTTCTTCTACGTCATTAGGATGAACACACATTTCAGATGTTATCTTTAAAAAGGGTCTTTTGTTTTCAAGCTGGCATTGGAATCTAAGCCAACAGCTTTCTTCTCCTCTGGCACATTTTCACATTCTTTAAGGATCACAAGCCTAAAAAACATGACCTGATCATCTGTCACTTGGCCTTTGTCCACATAGTGATGCTAGTCATTGCAGCAGAGTTACTGTCTCCAGACATGTTTGAGTCACTAAAATTTCAGAATAACTTCAGAGGTAAGGCTTCGTTCTACATATACAAGGTAATGAGGGGCCTCTCCATCTGCATCACCTCGCTCCTGAGCATGCTTCAGGCCAGCACCATAAGCCCCATCACTTCCTGGTTGGTGAGATTTAAACATAAAATCACAAAATACAATATCCTGGGTTTATTCTTGTTTGGTCTCTCAATTTGTCTTTCAATAGTGACATGATAATCTATATGTAGTTTGTTTCATTCTGTTGATTGTTTTCTATACCATGTAGAAGCTTTTATTTTAATATTTTATTAACTTTTTTCTGTTTGCTGGCTTTATACAAAGGTGAGACATTTTGCTGTCACTGCTTTTATGAGCTTGTTTTCATGTTGATTTTATGAAGTTTGACCTTTTTTAAAATTAAGATTTATTTTATTTAAAATTGACATGTAATTGTACACATTTATGGGCCACAGTGTTATTTCAGTGCATTTACTCATTGTATAGTGATAGAATCAGAATAATGAACATATACATTGTTTTCAACATTTGTTATGTCTCTGTGCTGATAACTATAAAATTCTTTTTCTTTTTTAAATGCACTTAGGGCATAAAAATTCTCTCTTATAGCTGACTTAACCTATATTATAATATATTATTACTAGTTATAGTCACTTTACTGTGTAATAGAACACAAAAACTTATTCTTTCTGTTAGGGTTTTTTAAATTAATTTTTTCTTTTTTTCTTGAGACAGTCTTGTTCTGTTACCCAGGCTAGAGTACAGTTGCATGATTTTGGCTCACTACAACCTCAACCTCCAGGGTTCAAGCAATTCTTGGGTCTCAGCCTCCCATGTGACTGGGATTACAGGCACATGCCATCATGACTGGCTAATTTTTGTATTTTTAGTAGAGATGGGTTTCACTATGTCTGCCAGGCTGGTCTCCAACTCCTGGCCTCAAGTGATTCACCCACCTCAGCCTCCCACAGTGCTAGGGTTACAGGTGTGAGCCACCGTGCCCAGCCTATTCTTTCTGTTAAATGGTAATGTTGCATTCATTGGCAAACCTGTTCTCATCTCTTCTGCTCCACATCCTTTCAGCCTGTGGGTAACCACCATTTTGCTCTACTTCCATGAAGTTAGGTTTAAATTTCTTTTCTTTGTGTGTGTGTGTGTGTGTGTGTGTGTGTGTGTGTGTGTGTGTTTTTAAATATGGAACACTTCACGAGTTTGCGTGTCATCCTTGCGCAGGGGCCATGCTAATCTTCTCTGTATCGTTCCAGTTTTAGTATATGTGCTGCTGAAGCAAGCACAGGTTTAAATTTCACATAAAAAGGATATCATGTGACGTTTGTCTTTCTATGCTTTGCATATTTTACTTAACATAATGTCCTCCAGGTACATCCATGTTGCTGCACAGATTATTATTCTGTTTTAGAAAAAATAGTGTGGAGAGTCTTCCAAAAATTAAAAATAGAACTACTCTATGATTCAGCAATTTCAATACTTGGTATATATCAAAAGGAAATAAAATCAGTATGTCAAACTCCCATGTTTATTGCATCACTAATTATAATAGCCAGACTATTACTTCACTTAAGAATTATTTTCATCTCTTTTTGATACATTACATTTCTAAACTTTTAAAGGATTTATGTCTGGTTTTCAGTTTTAGAAACTATTTAATCACCAATTTTTTAAATATTGCCTTTCATTTTTTATATAGTCTAGTAAAGCAATTAGGTGTTCTTCTCAATCCAGTCTTCATATATGTATAAATATATTTCATTCTCTATTAACTTGCCTGCTATAAAATATGTAACTACATCAATTTTGCTTAGTATTCTACCTTATTGGCCTGTCGTCAGCTCAGTGTATTTTAGTATGCACCCCATATTTTGCACATTACATTGTTTCACCACATTTGTAATAGCTTACTTTCAATTTGCTTTTTTTCCAGATATGATTTGAGAAGCATAGTTTTTTTGTTGTTGTTTGCCCATTACTTTGGTTTTCTGTTTTTTCATTGTAATGACAAATATTTTAACATAAGCCAAATATCTGATATTTATGTATCATATAATTTCTTTTGACCCTTCATCTTGGTAGTTTATCTAATTCTGTGCAATATAATGTATACCTTAGTTTTCACATATAGAAAATACCATATTTGGAATGTCTCCAGTCTGTGTATTTCTTTGCTGATTCCATTTGCCTTATTGAAAGTTGAACAACCCACATGAATCTGACATTCTTGTAATTAGTCCTATCTGAAGAGAGCATGTGCTTCTTAGGTTGACTGTTCCTCTGGATTAACCCTTTCATTTACTTCTGGTCCTGGGAATTTCTCATATTTTTCTTCAACTATATTTAGCATAATACAGATTTTTTAACTTCTTGATAATTTTAATTATCTGTATTAAATGTTTAAAAATATATATTATTTTCTTGCAAAGCATAAATAGGCAACAGTTGCATACATTAGTAAAATATGTCACATAGATTGTCTATGACATAAAACATCATCTCACCCGAAATCTCAAGTTTCTTAGTGTAGAAGACCTCCATCCCAATACATCTATTGTAGTAATTTGTGAAGTGTGATTACTCTTTACTACTATGTATGTATTATATATGTATTATCCACAGATTTCAGAAATACTCCACTGCAATGAATATATAGCCAGAATTACTGTTTTATATAATATAAAGCTAATATGGCTTAAATTATTTATCTTAATTCAGATTTTTTTCTACAATTACCATTATTTCTTATTAGGACTTCCCTGATATCAAAAACATAAGGTAGGCCGGGTGCGGTGGCTCAAGCCTGTAATCCCAGCACTTTGGGAGGCCGAGGCGGGTGGATCACGAGGTCAAGAGATCGAGACCATCCTGGTCAACATGGTGAAACCCCGTCTCTACCAAAAATACAAAAAATTAGCTGGGCATGGTGGTGCGTGCCTGTAATCCCAGCTACTCAGGAGGCTGAGGCAGGAGAATTGCCTGAACCCAGGAGGCGGAGGTTGCAGTGAGCCGAGATCGTGCCATTGCACTCCAGCCTGGGTAACAAGAGCGAAACTCCATCTCAAAAAAAAAATAAATAAATAAATAAATAAATAAATAAATAAGGTAGATATAGATTTTTTAAAATAATCTGGAAGATGTTGAAAAGGGTTCTAAATAGAGTTTGCACGTGGCTAGATAGTACTTGTTAATTACCTTTAACTTTTTTTTTTTTTTAACATTTATTGAGTATAATTGGCAAACTAAAAGTGTATATATTTTAGGATGTAGAATATGATGCTTTAAGACATGTATACATTTTTAATTACCTTGGTTAAACTAGTTAACATATTTATCACATTACATAGTTACTTTATATGTATGTGTGTGTGAGTGGGTATGTGTGGTAAGATTACTTGAGATTTGATTTTGAAAAAATTTTAAGTATACCGTATTATTAACTAAGTTTAGTCACCAATCTGTATGTTACATTCCCAGCATTTGTTTGTTTTATAGGTGAAAGTATGTATCTTTTGACTGATACCTTGTCATTCCCTCCCACATCCTAACCTGTAGTAATTATTATTCTTCTGTTTCTATGAGTCTAATTTTTTAAAGATTCCACATAAATACAAAATCATGCAGTACTTGTCTTTCTGTATCTGGCTTATTTCACTTAGCATAATGTCTTCATGGTTCATCAGTGTTGTTGAAAATGGCAAAATTTTCATCTTTATTAAAGATCAATTACATATATATTTGTCACAGTTTTTTTTTTTTTTTTTTTTT